CGGCACCTGGCACGGAGTAGGTGTCCAGTAGTTTTAAAGTATTCTCATTTTAAATAATGAAATATTTAATACATAGAGAATATCCCTTGTACCCACCACCCATATTTAACAGAAGTAACATTTTGCCATATTTGCTTTATATTTTTCAAGTAATTAACATCACAGAAAAAGCAAAAGTCCGTCTCACCCATCCTTTCCTTTCTTCCTGAGAGAAGTACTTCTGTCCTGGTACCGCTCTGTGTCATTCTTGTGCAGGTGTTTGTATTTTACTGCATATGTACTGTAGGGGAGGAAGAAATTTTCCTCTACCCTTCTAGGTTCTTCTCACTCATCTAAAAATTAAGTTGAGGGCCGGCCCCGTGGCTTAGTGGTTAAGTGCACGCACTCCGCTACTGGCAGCCCGGGTTTATATCCCGGGCACACACTGATGCACCGCTTCTCTGGCCATGCTGAGGCCGCGTCCCACATACAGCAACTAGAAGGATGTGCAACTATGACATACAACTATCTACTGGGGCTTTGGGGGAAAAAAAAATAAGGAGGAGGATTGGCAATAGATGTTAGCTCAGAGCCGGTCTTCCTCAGCAAAAAGAGGAGGATTAGCACAGATGTTAGCTCAGGGGTGATCTTCCTCACCAAAAAAATAAAATAAAAATTAAGTTGACTTGAGACGGATTAAGAGGAGAAAATCAAATTTAATTGTGTACCTACAGGAACCCACATATGTGACAGGGTCAGAGACAAAAAGGGTAAAACAAGGTATATATGCCATCTTGGGCTAAGGAATGAGATAGGGGCCTAAGGCTTCGTAGGGGAGGAGGGCAATTCACAGGATGATAAGAAGAGCAGATGTCCAGTAATTAGAGGTTTGCCCTGCCATACAGATAGGTCATAAAAATTTATTTCTGGTAATAACTCTTATTATGAGCAAGGCCCCCAATTTAAATTCTTTAAGGGAGGGATAAAGGTTTCTTTTGAGCCCACAGGGTCTTGATTGCCTTTAGCTCAAAGTATTCCACGTGCCAAAGTGTCACATCTTGGGGAGGCCTGTTCTGAACCCCTTCAATACCTATATATAAGCATATATACTACTGTTTTGTATGTTTTTTAAACTTTACATAAATAACATCATGCCATCAACATAAACATTCTTTTGCAACTTGCTCTTTCTACTTAGCATGTATTTCTATGACTAGTCCATATTGGGACCTGTATATCCAGTTTTTTTCATTTTTTTCTGCTCTGTAGAATTTGTTGAGTGAACAGACCACAACTCATTTATCCATTTCCCTACTGAGGGGCATGTAGGTTGTTTCCACATTGAATATCCTTGTAAATGTGTCTCCTTGTGCATCTATGCAGGAGTTTCCCAAGTGTAGAGACTTAGAGTTGGAAACACCGGTCGCAAACGCATGGCATCTTCACCTTTACTCTGCATGGCTAGTTGCTTTCCAGATATTCTACACTCATATGAGCCCTGAACTAGCATTCCTGTCCCTCCACATCCTAGCCAGCACTTGATATTGTCAGGCTAATTATTTTTTTACAATCTGATGAGATGAAAATATATCTCATTTTTACTATAATTTACATTCCCATTATCATCAGTGAGGTTAGGCATCTTTCCTTATACTTGTTGTTCATTTGGGGTTCCTCTTTTGTGAATTTCCTATTTGTGTCCTTTGCCCATTTTCTCTGTGTGGTTTGTCTCTTTCTTGCTGATATTTGAAGTTTTCTATAGTTCTGAACACGAATCCTTTATTGATGATGTGGGTGGCAGATCCCTTTTCCCAGACTACAACTTGCCTTTTAATGTTGATTTTGCTGTCTTTTGTTTATTGGTTTGTTTTTGTGTGGAAATGTTTAATTTTAATGTAATCACGTTTATTCATTTTTTCCCTTTAGGGTTTGTGCATTTTGTTTCTTTCCTTTCCCCAAGGTCATAAAGATTGTCTCTTATTTTTTCCTAGTAGTTTTGCCTTTTTGCTTTTCACATTCATGGCATTAATCCACTTGTATAATATAAGGTAGGAGGACTCTAATTTCATCTTTTTCCACATGAAACCCAAATGTTCTAGCCCCATATACTGAAAAGACCCTCTCTTCCCCACTGACTTGTAACGCCACCACCATCATGAAGCAAGTTCAGGCTCTCACTTCTGATTCACTGAACTATTTCTCTATCCATGCCCCAACACCAAACTGTTTGAATTAGTATTGTTTTGTATTTTGTTCTGATATCTAGTAGGGCAAGTCCTCTACTATTCTTCTTAAGAATTGTCTTGGCTATTTTGTCCCTTTATTCTTCCTTCAGGATTTTAAGATCAACTTAAATGACTGGGTCTGGCAGGGTTTGAATACCATGCCATTGACAGTTGCAAGCAAGGAAATGACATGGCCAGCTTTTCGTTTTTCAAACACTCGTGAACCTGTTTGGGAGTTGGATTTCAGAGGATCAGACTGAAGACAGGAAGCAGATAAAGTGTGGGAACCCAGGCTTGTCAGTGGCAAGAGAGATGGGCGAGGAGGGGATGTACAAAATCTAGGAGCCTTGGTGATTGGGTATGGCAAGTGAGAAGAGAAAAGGCAAGTCACAGTCTGGGAGAAGCCAAGACAACCCCCCATTCCAGGCCAGGTGACTGAGTGACCAGCAGTGCTTCCAGCCAAGGCTGGAAATACAGGAGGAGGTTCCAGGTTCAACCTTGGCTGAGTGGAACTTGGGGTACCTTAGGAAAGTTCAGACAGAGGTATCATGCCAACAGATGGATATATAGGTCTTGGGCTCAGATAAGAAGACTGCAGTAAAGATTCAGGAGTCATCAGCATGTCTGTTGAGTCAAAATCAAATCAAAACCAGGAGCCAAAGAGGGAGGCCTGTGTCGCAAACACCAATGTGAGGGGTTGTTGGAGGATAAGGAGCCCATGGAGGAGACATTGTGACAACGATCGAAGAGGCACAGAAGAAGCAGGAGAGCGTGACATCGTGGACACATGGGAAGTGGAGTGTTTCGAGAAGGCGTGATCACTAGCATCAGATGCCAAGGGCTCTGGTGAGAAGGCCGATGAGTGCTCACCGGTTTGGCAAAAAGGAGGTCAATGGAAATGTCATTAGGCACAGAAGCCAGATTTTAGTGGCTTGAGGAGTAAGTGAGAGGGGCAGAAGCAGAGCACAGACCTCTGTTTGAAGAAATGTGACTGGCTGGGAGGAAGATCTGGGGCCAACGCACCTTATTTTACAGAAAATGAGAGACTAGAATGTGTTTCTCGGCTGGGGGAAGGGGCCAGAGAAAGGGGAAGGGGAGAGTGATGGAGTGAATTCTCAGAGGAAACAGGTCCGACTAGAGAGGAGAGATGGGCTCTGGACGGAGGAGACCGTGTTCCCCAGGCCTGGCAGGAAGGCTGGTGTGGACCGAGGTGCATTTGGTGATTGCAAGGCTAGACGTGAGAGCAATCAAACCTGACAACCACAGTTTTCTCATGGAAATAGAGAGGGGCATCATTTTAAAGCGGGGGGAGGAGTCTGTGAGTTGTGCAGGGGACTTAAGAAGAGAGGTGACATTTGGGAATAGTTGTTGAGGGGACCAGGGGAGAAAGTTATTAGGCCTAGTAGAGGGATTGGTGGTGGGGCCTTGGGGAATGAAGGAGAAGATGTGTGTGGAGTGGGGTGTGGAGCGGGGAGAGCAGTGGGCAGACAACAGCTGGAGCAGGAATTCAGAGCTCGAGATGACGTGAGTGCCCCTGCCTCGTGAACCTCCCAAAGTGCCAGAAGGGAGCTAGACTTGCTGCAGTGGACAGGCTGGGGACGGGGGTCATTATTTTGGACATTTAAATAAGCCTGATCCACGCATGCTGGAGGACATGGGAACCCTTAGGTCACTTGTGGATCTACGGCATCTTGTGGTGGAGGATCTGGAGCCCTGGCTGGCCCCTTGTGCCTCACAGGCCCTCCAGAAAAGTTCACCAGCATGGTCAGGCAGCAGCCCCTTGATTCCCTGTGTGTTTGATGTGCTTTGCGGGAAGTGGCTGAGCCCCTTTGTGGAAGCCCTGGCCCCCACTTCCAGTGTCTGGCCCAGGTAGCTACGGCTAGGCTAGCATCTGGGGTCGCCTCCCTTAAGACCTCCCTTCCCAAGCAACAGAAACTAGAGAGTACAACGGTGGTCGGGATCCTGCCCCTCAAAACATAGCTGTGGACAGGGCCGGCATGAAGGACTCTGCCTCACTCTCTGCATATGTTGCTCAGTGAGGTTTGTGGCCCAACCCCCTGGCTCTGGTGACCTGCTGGTGGCTCCATGACTGGGGCTGAGGAGGACATGGTAATATGGTAATGAAACAAGTGTGAGTGCTAACTGTGAAACTCTGCATACACTACCTCAAGACTCCTCCCAGCCACCTGCAAGGTGAGTTGAAGTATTCCCACTTTTCAGATGAGGAAACTGAGGCTCAGGGCATAAGTTAAGTAACCCATCCAAGGTCACCCAGGCAGTAACTGACAGACCTGGGGTCTGAGCCCCTGCCTACCTAGCTGTGCTCTCAGTCAGTCCACTGCCTCCCCAGTAAGCTCTCCATCCCTTTGTGTTGAATGAAGGGGTAGAGAACAGAGAGTGGCTGTAGGAGGACACAGGGGAACTCAGAAGACACACTGTTAAGTCTCAACTCTGTCACCCAGCTGGCTGGCTTCAGATAAGTCATTCCAGGGGGAAATGGGGCCAGGCTGCCGATCCTCGTGTCCATCCCCCACGTCCATCCCGGTACTCTCCTCTGTATTAGCCAGCGGGCTGCCTGGTCAGGGGGTGCCATGCGCAGCAGGACACTGGCCATCTTGACAGTTGGTTGTGAGCCCTGGACACTAATTGTACTGGAAGGGAGGGGTCAGTGTCTCACGAGCAGAAAGCCATGCCCCACCTGTGACAGCCAGGCCAGGTACCTTACCCCAAACCCTGGCCCTCCTCCTCTGAGTCTCCACAGCCCCCACCATCTCTCTCTCTCTGCTCTGTTCACAGGCCCCTCCACCGGCTCCAGTTCTGCGAGGTTCAGCCGGCGGCCCACCTGTCCTGACGCGTCTGTTGCTGGCAGCCTCCCCACACCCCCGGTCCCAAGACACAGGAAGAGCCACAGCCTGGGCAACAAGTGAGTGCCTGAGCAAGCCCCCCGCAGGCTCTGGACTGGGCTGAGCATGGGGCAGGGGCTAAAGGGCTACTGGGAATGTTTGCTCCCTGGGGCGCCCTCTTCCGTCTCATCTGGGAGTCGCTGATGAGTGCCCTTAGTATCCTGGCTGGTGCCCTCTCCTCAGGCTGGCACAGGCTCAGGAAAAGCTGGGGGTAGCTGTGGCAGCATAGCCTATGTACTGGTGATGGTATCACTGGCTCAGTAGCCGCTGGAGGAAGCATGCAGGGAAGGGCAGGGAAGCAGTGGTGGGATTCCAGAAAGCTTGCCCCCAGGCTCAATTAGTGCCTCCCTTGTGGAAAACCCCAGAGTCCAGTGGACACTGTGAGTGTCATCTGGGGCAGTGCTAGGTGTCTCGTGGCGCCTGCCAGTGGTGGGGCTCAGAGTCTCTGCTTGCCAATTGCTGCAGAAAGCCTGCGGAGCAGTGAACCTGCCGCTGTTCACCCAGCCCTGTGGGGCTGACAGCCAGGGGATATGCATGGTCCTGGGCATGGCCAGGGGCAGCCATGCTCATGTCCCCAGGGTGTTGGGCACAGGCTCCTCCTGAACAGTTGGGTCCATCCCTCCCTCCCTGCTTCCCTCTATTCCTTCCTCTCTTTCTTTCTCCCTCCCTCCCTCCCTCCCTTCCTCTGTCACTAAGACACAAACCTCAGCCAGCCTCAACCTCAGCCTATGTGCCTGTCAAGCATTACAGTTGTTCCTGCTATCTGGGAGGGCTTGATTCCACCCCCACCTCCAAAATCCGCGGATGCTCAAGTCCCTTATATAAGATGGCGTAGTATTTGCATATAACCTACACACATCCTCCTGTATACTTTAAATCATCTCTAGATTACTTATAATACCTAATACAATGTAAATGCTACATAAAGAGTTGTTATACTATATTGTTTAGGGAATAATGACAAGGAAAAAAAGTCTGTACGTGTTCAGTACAGACACAACCATCATAGGCCTTTCCATTCGTGGTTGGTTGAATCCGCGGATGCGGAACCCCGGATATGGAGGGCCGACTGTATCTCACTGAGCTCCCTGCAGGCCTCCAAGGTAGGTTATATGTATACATTGTAAGAATGAGTCCAATGAGGTTCAACGGGGTGAAGTCCCTTGCAATGTAGTAGGGTCGGAGCAAGGATTTGGACCAGGTGTGTGTGACTCCAGCACCAGATGTGCTGACTGCAGGGTCATGCTGCCCCTTCACTTGTGTGGCCCCATCACTCACAAGCACCATCTGCTCACTTGAGCCTCATACTCATCCTGGGAGACGGGCAGGGCAAGTATTGTTAGTCTCCATTTGGCAGATGGGGAAACTGAGGCTCAGAAAAAGGATGTGACTTGCCCCAGGTGACGCTGTGAGATAGGGCAGAACCTGGACTTGTGGCAAGGTTCTAGGTGGAGGCCTTTTTCCTGCAGCTGCGCCATCTGCTCAGGCCCCCAGGGCAGGTGTAACCATGGTAACTCCATAGATAAGGAGCTTTGCTTTCTCTCTTCCTTTCCATCTTCCAGTATGATGTGTCAGTTGAGTGTAGTTGAGAGTAAAAGTGCGACATTCCCATCGGAGAAAGCGAGGCACCTGCTGGACGACAGTGTCCTAGAGTCCCGCAGCCCCCGTAGGGGCCTCGCCCTCACCTCCTCCTCTGCCGTCACCAATGGACTCTCCCTAGGTAAGCGTCTCGGCCTGCACACGACAGCGGGTGGGCCACAGCCTGGCGTGTGCTCCGTGTCTGTCTCTGTCACTGTGCAGCGCCCAGTGGCCCCTCACCATCTGCAGAAAGGGCTCCCTGCGGGAGTCGCCAGAGCCAGGGAGGCCTTTGCTTCCTGGCCTCCGGGGCTTCACGAAGTGCCCTGGGTCGTCCTCACCCTGCCGGTAACCCTGAGCATGGCAGGCAGGTGGAAGGAGCAGCCAGACACATGCCTGAGACCCACTGACATTGGTTGGCAATTGTCAAAGCCTGGCTGCTGCCCCAGTGGGGCTTCTGTCCCTGGGGCAGCCACCAGCCCCAGCATGCAGGAGTAGGGAGGCTGCTGGGTGGGCCACCGGGTTTGCACTTGTGTACTTGTCTTCACACTGAGAGGCCAGAGTTAGGGAGGATGAAAACTTGATCTTCAAGGATGAAATTGCATGTCTGAGTTTCAGCCAGAAATAGTGCTTATGTCAATGGAGAGGACAGAAACTGAGCTGCTGAGGCTGGGATGGGCAGAGGTTGAAGTCAGAGCTGAGGACGTCTTGCGCTCTGGTCACAGGTCTATCCCCCTGCAGTGCCCAGGTCACCTGTCACTGCTGCCATCAGACAAGTACACTCTCTGCTGGCTGTGCCCGTTCAGCAAGCCGGTGCTTCTGGAGTCTGTGTGTCTGTGTGTCTGTCTGCTTCCCTTAACAGGGAACCCTCCGGCGCTGGTGGGGGGTTAGACAATTGCCAGGCTGGGGGTTTGATCTGATGAGGGCTTTAAGGTGGAGGGCCCATGAGCACGGAGAGGAAGAGGGTGGTAGGGGCAGGAAAAATGGGCAGGAATCTCATGTCCCACATCCCTGTGAAGTGAGGCCAGTCTCGGAGGCAGTATCACTCCAGGGGGCAGCTGTCTCCCACCCCCAGAAAGTCTGTGACGAGGTCTGTGTCTGCCTTCTGTCCTGGGAGGTCATCCTATCTGGACCCAGTCAGGGGTGTACAACAGTTCAGGACAGTGCAGCCCGTGGTTCCTAGGTTTGCCTCGGGGGAAGAGTCTGGGGTCAGCATGTTGGGGAAGGCTGGATTAAACCAGGTGAGGAGGTCTCTTCTCAGAGACTTCAATGTGCCAGTGGGCATTATGGCTCTGTAAGAAGGCAGTAGAGTCCGCAGGTTCCCATGTTATCTGGTCGTGGAACCCTTTTCCTTGGAGCGTCCTGTGGGATGGGGTTCTGAGGAACCCGTCTGAGAAATGCCAGCCCCAGAGCATTCAGTTGGGCATCAGGACAGCTGTTTTACATCCAGGAAACTTTCTGAGCTGTGCCTGAGCCCAGGCCCTGCTATTCCTGAGACAGAAAACTGAGTCAGACACAATGCTGTCCAGTATCCACGAGGGAGATCACCAGGCAACTTGGTTCTCGGCTTCTCTACTCGGGAAACTCAGATGTTTTTCTGTTTGGACCTGAAAGCCTGGGATCAAGTTGCCATGTGTACCTGTGCCCTGTTTGGAGCTGAACTGGTTCTCTCCATCCTGTAACTCCTAAAGGGCCTGAGGGTTCCTCCTTCCCCCTTTCCCACTGCCCAGCCTTGGTGCCAGCAGGCAGCCCAGGCAAAGAGCACTGACCCAAGGTGCCCCTGAGGTCTGAGGGAGAGTACAAAGACAGCGTGAAGCGACAGGAGAAAATCTCTCTGCTGTCCTTGTGGCCGGAGCCAGGCCTTGCAGAGCCCCTGAGAAGGAGGGCATCCCAGTCAGCCCCAGAGGGGCAGGCTTGAGGGGAGGGTCGAGCCCCTCTATGTGTGTACACTGGCCAGGGGAATGACGGGGCCCTCGATCGAGGCTTCTGTCTAATGCAAGGCAGCTGGTCTGTGACCAGTGTCCGGTCAAGCCCTGACCCTTGGGGGAAGAAGTGCTCATTTAGCGTCTGTCCTCACCAGGTGAGGCCTGTTAAGCACTGGTTTCACTTGGGCCAGAAGAGAGGCAGTGGTGGAGCCAGACCAGGCCAATAGAGAAGCCTAAGGACTCAGACCCCAGTGGGCCAGTGGGCAGGCAGCTGTGGCCTTCAGGGGGACAGCGGGAAGGGAGTAGAGGACCCACCTGGGAACAGTGGGACACGATGGTTCTTTGGACCCTCTCAGGGCAGAAAGTCAGAAATAGCAGCAGCAAAGGCCCGAGTCACACTGATGCCCATGGGGTCAGGAAGCTGTTTCTCCGGCACTTCTGTGGAGCTCAGGGGCCTGGGCCCAGTGACCCAGGAGGACAGGCCTCTCTGGGGTTGGCCTCTCTTCTGCGAGGCCGCCCACCACGCTCATTGATCTGTGTTCCTTTTCCAGGCAGTAGTGAGAGCTCAGAGTTTAGTGAAGAGATGTCTTCAGGGCTGGAAAGGTGAGTGTGGCCTCAGCTCGGGGCCTGAGGGAGCTGGAGACAGTTCCGGGCAGGCACCAGCCCCACCCCACCTCACCCCACTGGCCTGGTGAGGCTGCTCTGTGGCTCCTCAGGTCAGCTTGGCCCAGGAGCAGGGCCACCTAGGAGGAAGAGCAGGATGGACGCAGGGCGGAGGGTCCCAGCCCCATGCTCGGAGCAGCCCCACTCATCATCTGGTCCAGAGCTAGCCCAGGAGCCTGAGGCCAGCCCCTCTTCTTCAGGCCGAGCTGCTGAGGAGACCTAGGAGCAGATTTGGTCTGAAATGTGGGTTCTTGAAAACAGAAGCCAGAGTATGGGCCTAGTCTGGAGATGGGCACGTGGCTCCGCCTGGTGGGGTCTGAGAGTGTTGCACCCACGCGGCCTCGGGCCTTGGGCTGACACACATCCTGCTGGGCACTGGTGACAGTGAAGTGGATCCGTCGGCCCAGGGTTTGGCTTCCTGTGGCGAGCCCATCTGCCCTGGGAATCCAGCCTCCCACTCAGGAATTCACCCACTGCACCCACTCCATGAGCTGTTCTCTGTGCCAGGTGCCAGGTGGGCTGGGGAAAACAGGGACTCAGTGAAGGGGGAGCTCTCATGGCCACAGCACCACCAAAGGTGAAGGGCATCACGATGACTCAAAGGCTGAGGGGAGGCAGGGAGAAATCCAGTGACAGAATGTCCCAGAGAGTCAGGTTTGCACCGTCCTTCAGAGCAGCCCCTCCACTAGTATGCAGGGGCCTGTGGGCACACACAGGCACACACACACACACTCACACAGTTACTATGCACGCTTTCACATGAACGCACACACTACACTCTCTCACACATACACAATCTCACACACGTGCGTGTACACACTTTCATGTGTGCATACATATACATACATACACTGATGTACTCTCACACATATGTAGGGGTACATAGTTACATGCGTGTACGTTCACACATATACCTTTCACGCATATGCACACTTCACACACATGTGCACGCGCACACACACACTCCTCTGGTGCTGAAGCCTCCTATCTCCTCAGTCCCCATGCTCATAAAATGGCCAAAGAGAACGTAAATCCTGCCCAGTGAGAGTCCTCACTGGGCAGGCAGCTAGCTGCAGAGGAACATAATATGGTAAGAGGTGGTCTTTGTGAGCAGTCCCTGTGGGCCGGGCACTGTCCTGGTCTCACCGAATCCTCAAACACTCCTATACAGTGGTTATTTGTAGTGTCCCCATGTGGACAGCAAGGCTCAGAGAGGTGAAGTGACTTGTCTTGCTTCACACTCCTCTGGTGGGGCAGAGCTGACCCAAATCCACATCCTCCTGACCACGGAGCCCACCTCTTCACCACTGTGCTCCATGCCTCAACCAGAGGGCTGCTGTGACAGCTACAGGGACCGGCCCCATGTCGGTCAGTCTGTCTGTCCTTGTGAAACCCTGGATAGAGAGCTGGAAAGGGGGAGGAACAATGCCGTGGGCCCCACTGCCCTCACTCTGGGGCCACCCCAGCAGTGGGGATGAGAACCAGACAGGCACTAGGGGCAGACTCCAGATCTGATGGGCAAAAGTTTGACTTTTCTCAGCCAGTCAGGGGACTCCTGGGGAGACCCTGAGAAAAGGGGGTTTACAGGCAAGCCAGCATCTCCCCTGGCCAATGAGGGGACGTTGAGTGGAAATGTAGGCCTGGTGCCAAGATCCTGAATATCATCCAGACCTGGACCTATTCATTGGCTCATTCATTCCTTCATTCACTCATTCATTCATTCAGTAGCCATTTATTAAGCAACTGCTCCCCGCCAGACACCACGCTAAGTCACTGAGGGTAGCAGATACGGTCCCTGCTAAGCACCCACAACTGAAATTAGAGCCACCAGGAGGGAAGATGGTGAGAGAATTCCTGCCTCAGAGAGACGATGCTGTACTAATTCAGTGGTGAACACTGTCAGATGTAGCATTTCTCTTTTCTCTCTTTCACTTAGAATTTAGCATTAGATTCACTATCCATCTGGATGTCTATCGTACATGCTTTTTGGGTGGGCTCTCCTGCGAGCGCTGATCTCACAGGCGGCTCACCTGTGCAGATGCCCAGCCCTGCCTCCAGCAGCCTTCAGAATGGTCCTTCAGGGAGAATGTCCTGTTTCTCATTCTCTTGGGACCTAGCTCCTGGTCCAGAACCTCCCTGCTGAGGGGAGCAGGAGACCACCTGTTTTGGAAGATGCCAGTGGGGTGAGGATGTCCCCTCCAGTCCCTTCTGAGACCCAAGGCAGTCCTCCAGATCCAGATGGCAGCTGCCCCTTGGCCTCCAGCTCTCTGTGGCCCAGCCTCTGGTCTCCATTTCCATCCTACACTAGCCTCTTTTCACGTCCACCAGAAAGAAACCACTCCCTCCAAAGCATGTGAGCATTCTAGACTTTCCTAAAGACTCCATGGGAGAGCTGGAGGGGAGGATTTACCTCACACACTCTGAAAATCTTCATTAAATGTTCCTCTTCTCTCCCAGCTCAGTGACCACAGTTCACGTGGCCACGGGGGCCTCCCTTATTCCTAACCTTCACCCACCCAATAATGCTCAGCCCCACTGGGTCCTCCCTCCACCCCTAGGCCTCCGCCAGGTGACGTTGCTCCTGCTCTATAAAGAGAAGCAGATTCCCTCTTCCCTGGAAGCCAGGTGTCACCCTGCCTGGGCCCAGAGGCCAGCGTCTGCCCCAGAGGAGCCTCCAAAGCCCTTTTCAGCAAAAAGGAGCCTTGCCTCTCAGAGACACCGCCAGCCTCCCAGCAGATGCTGTAGGAACGCAGCTCTCTCTGCGTCTTTACACCCGCGTGGGCAGATGGTGGCCTTAGAACCAGAGCCAAGGGCGCAAACCCCGGGAGGTACTGGGCCCCACCCAGAGGAATGAGGTGTGAGAGAGTCTCCAGGCTAGGGTGGACACCATGGCCCTGGTGACAAGCTTGGCCCAGGCCAGGAAGAGAAATGGAGCCAGACACTGACATGAAGGGCAGGGAGGCCCCAGGCCAGTGACCCCCGTCACCAGCACATACCCCTCTGTTGGTTTGAGAGCACATCTTAATCATCCTTTATGCCACTGTGACTGGGTGGGCAGGAGGGTTCCTGTTGTCCGGCCAACGGTGGGATCATTTGGCCCTGCCTTGCGAGTTTGCCTTCCCCAAGTTCACACACATGGACATTTCAGCTGGTGGCCTGAAGGCAGACGTTGGGTGGGAGCCAGAGCTCAGGCTGCACCCAGTGCTTCCTGAAGTGGCCAGCCTTAAAGAGCACCCACGTTGGAGCCCACAGAGTCCCAGCGGCCTGCTGCACTGCTCTCTATGGGAGTGGGGCAGATGGAGGGGTGGCACGGCCACCAGCCCCTGTTCTTGCTGGGACCATGAAGTAAGGGTTCAGGGAGCCAAGAGGACCTTCTGCTGCTGCTCTTATCCTCCTGTGCCCTCATCCATCTCAGCCTCAGCAAGATCACAGGGCCTGCAGGCTCTGTGTCTGTGTTGGTCGGTGGGGGGACAGACTGGAGCCATGAAGCGGCCAGACTCAGGGAGGTGTTGCTCAGTTCTCAGCCCCCAGGCCGCCCTAAAGACCTTCCCCTGTCTTCAGGGCCCAGAGTGAGGGCAGAGTGGTGGTCCTGGGTCAGGGCCCTCAAGAACCAGAGGCCAGAACCGATGGGGAAGGGTTAAGAGTGGGTTCGTCCTAAGACTCTACCTCATGTCCCCAACCTGCGGCTTTCTGGCCTCAGTGCCTGGGAGTGGGGACAAAGGCAGAAGGAGCGCCCTGCATCACACTCTGCTTTTCCAGGAAGGGGAGGGAGGCAGCCGTGAAAGGGCATTTCCAACTTGTGCTTAATTGACTGGAAAGTAGGAACTATGGACGCTGCACCAGGAGGACCTCGAGCAAACCTCAGGCTTCTCAGAAGTTAAAGGGGGAAGGAAATGTTTCCATCAGGCCCATCAGTAAAAGGTGATAGGTGCTCCTTTATGCCTGATTCGGCACGAAAGTGAGAACAAGAGTGTCACCCTAAGAGAAAAAAATTTTAAACGAGGTTTTTTAAAAGAGGAACAACATGGATGATAGAGATGGACATATATGTATGTATGAAAATAGATAATATCATTCATCTTGGTTATCTCTGAGTTGTAGGGTTATTGAGTGTGTTTCTTTCCTTAATTTTTTTCTGTATTCTCCAAATTTTCCACAATGGGTAAATGTTTCTTTTACACCCAGAAAAAAAATTAACATTTAACTTTTTAAAAGAAGATATAATCAGAAATGTTTACTGATCAGTTTCTAAGAGGTGAAATATGAAAGTACATCACCAAGTTCATTAGGAAACACTCGCCATCCATCTTTTCTAGTCTGACATCACCAGTCTGTGGAAGGGCCTTCTGACGTGACAAACGTGAGAGACCAACCCGAAGTACAGGTGGTGGAAAGACTGGGAGGCCGAGTGGTCCTTGGAGGAAGCCCCTCTGGAGGGAGAGGGAAAGGGAGAGGGAGAGGAAAGTGGACCACCCTCTCTGGAGCAGAGCTGTTTCTTATTCCTTCACTGGGAGCAAGAGGGATGCAGTAGGAACTGGTCACAGCTCACAGTCAGGGTGGGAGACAGAGATTCAGTCAGTGATGCCGGGTCCTTCATGTTGCTCATGAAGAAGGCGTGCAACACATAATGGGAGTGTCTGGCAGGGTGACCCACGTGAGACTGTGGGTTCAGGGGTGGCTTCTGGTGGAGGCGATGGTTAAGCAGAAGCCCAAGGACATTGGTGAAGAGGACCACAGCGGGCCCTTGAGGGGGATCCTGGGACCTGAGGAGGCTGCAGGCCTGAGTCGTGTACCAGGATGGGAGAGGTAGCCCAGAAATGCTTGATGTCTCTAAGCGTCACTGCAGGAGAGGTGGGCTCCTTGATGTGTCCTGGTCTCTGAAGTTCTTAGTGCCTCTGCAGTGAAAGGTCATGGTCTGCTCTGGATGCTGCCAGCAGAGC